GTGGGAGGGGACCTGGGGCCTCCTTCTGAGCCCTTTGGTACACGCACCTATTGAGTTGGCCAAAAACCAGGCAGGTGAGAAGGCCTAGGGTTCAGGTGTGGAGTCTGCCCAGGTGACGAGGACCCTTGGGAGGCCCTGCCCAGACCTGGAGGCTCTGAAGTTTTCCACCTGGGTGTACAGCGTAGGGGCAGGAGTAGATGGAGCAGCTGCAGGAGCCTCCAGGCAGCAGGAGCTGGCGGGTCACNCCAGGCAGGGATTACTCAGCTGTCACAGGCTACCGGGGCCCCGGCCATGAATTTCTTCCGATGAGCGAGACAGATGCTGCCCTTAGAGCATATGTTCTGGGGGCGAGGGGAGAGAATCAACAAGTACCCCCCAAAAAGATCAATGTAGTGTCAGGCAGGGGTATGTGCTGCAAAAAACAGAGCAGGAGAGGGGACCAAGGGGAAACAAGCAGAGACCTGGAGGGAGCCAGGAGGCCTCCTCTCTGCTACTTGTCCACTCTCTGCTTCCAGCGGCCGGAACATCCCAGAAAGATCACAAGGAGGCTGAGAGCTGAGGCAGAGGGAGGCCCTGCTTTCTCCCCCTCCCTCCTTCCCCCAATCCTGGCCCCATAGGGGGCCACAGACACTGTCGCAGAGTCACATAGCGTCCAGGGAATCTGGGTGTAAACCTCGGGGGCAGGGGGCAGCCTGGGGACGGATCCCAGGCTTGGCCACAATGTGGGGGACCCAAACTCAGCCTGCTGGCTGGGAGTCTTCCCAAGATCCCAGGAGACGTCTGGGAGATGGCAGGCTTGACCCTGACCCTCTTCTTCCTTCACAGGACAGAGTCCGAGGTGCCCCCCAGACCGGCCTCCCCCAAGGTCAACAGGAGCCCCCCAGAGGCAGCTGCCCCAGCGGAGGACATGGCTCGGAGGAGTGAGTTGGCCGTGGGAGAAGGGGGACAGAGGGTGGGTGGGGGCGGGCAGTCCAGACTGTCCCATGTTTTCAGGCGGCCAGGGGAGGCCGGGGATCCAGGCGGCTAGGAGCCAGTCTGCTGCCTAACACTCTGGGCTCAGAGTCCAGCTCTGTGACCTTGGGCAGGTGACTTCACCTCCCTGCACCTCAGCTTTCTCCTCTGTGGACAGTAACTGCACCTACCCCGTAGGGCTGTTTGGAGAATTAAATGCTGCTCCCTAGCTCATGCAGCAAACGCTTGCTAAAGGTTGGCCATCGTGAGCGTGGGGGGCAGTGAGGTCCTCGAGAAGCCCAAAGGTCACAGAGTGAAGAGGAANATAGGTGATATAGACACCTTACTGCCCCCTTCCTTCCTCTACAGCCAAACGCCCAGCACCAGCCCGGCCTACCATGCCACCCCCGCAGGTCTCCAGCACCCGCTCCTCCCCTCCAGCCCCACCTCTGCCCCCTGGCTCTGGCAGTCCTGTGACCCCTCGGGCTCTGCCCCGCCGTCTGGTTGGCAGCAGCCTCCGGGCTCCCACAGTGCCACCCCCATTGCCCCCCATTCCTCCCCAGCCTGCTCGGCGCCAGAGCCGGCGTTCACCAGCCTCCCCCAGCCAGACCTCCCCGGGTCCTGCCTCCTCCAGCCCAGTCTCTCTAAGCATGGCTGCACAGGTAGACCTGGGGGCGGCCACAGAGGATGGGGGCACCCCTGAGGCTGTAGGCAGCACCCCCACTCCTGCAGCTATGCCCCCTCAGCCTCGGCCCAGGAGCCTTGCCTCAGAGAACGATTGAACTAGTGGCTCCTCCCCAACAGCCCTAGTGTCCCCTCCCTCCCACCTTGTCCTCCCAGGACACAGCCCTCACCCCTCCTAAGGGATGGGGGCCTACCGCCTTTGCCTACAAGTGCCTTGGTGCCTGCTGGGTCAGCCCCCACGGCAAAGAGGACTCAGGACAGTCCTCTACTTCCAGTCCTGTTCTTCTTGGATCCTCCCTGGGCTTGGGGGCTGAGCCCACTCCCCACTCTCCAGCAAGGTCCCACGGGAGCCACCAGAAGGAAGGAGAGCTTGCCTGCTCCTACAGGACTTTGATTTTTCTCTTGACAACATGTTTTTTGTAAGGCAGGTAAATAAATTATTTTGGACAAAACTGGAGCAGCTGCCCAAAAGATAGCTTTATTTTCTGTACTCAAAATAAAGAAGCCACTTTCATAAAGGGGGAAAAATGACCTATTCTTTGCCTCCTGTCCTTCCTGTCTGAAATGATAACAGCTGAAGTTTTTAAGCACTTCCTCTAGGCTACACACTGCTTTTCTGTGCATGATTTCCATTTAATCCTCTCCCTGGAGAGTAAACCCCCTGACCTCTTACAGGTGAGGAGACAGGCCGAGAACATGACCTTCCAAGGTCACACGGTGAGTGAGGCATGGACCTGGGATTGGGACCCAGGTCTGACTGACTCCAGAGCCTGGGCCTGTCCCTCACATCCTGGGCAATTTACTTAATTCCTCCATGTTCTGGTTTCCTTATCTGGGAAACCAGGTTACAACTTCCACCACAGAAGTGTTCTGGTGATTAAATGAGACACTCCTGTAGAGACCTAAGCACCACCCTTGCACACAAAAGTACCCTATGAGTGATGGTTGCTCTTGATGCCGGGTCCCCCATCTGCAGTGTTCCTAGAGAAGGCAGGGAAGGTGTACCCAGGAGCAGGGATGGATCTGTCTGTAAACCTTCCCTGAGGCTGCTCTACCAGACCCTAGGCTAGGTCCCTGACACAGCTGTAGATGCTCCTGGGGACAGGCAGAACTGATCATTACAATCAAGTATCATGACAACTGGGAGCCCATATTGTAGTGGGTCCGTATGGTGGAGGTCAAGGAAAGCTTCCTAAAGGAGGTGATATGCAAGGGGAGTCTTTGAAGAGCTGGCCAAGTAAAAAAGTCAGGGAAGAAGGAAGAACATTACAAGCCATGGAGACCACCTAGGCACCTGTGACAAAGGCCACGGCATTGGGGAACAAAGTATCTGCACTTAAAGGCTGGGTTACCAGATGTGGCTTTGCCCAGATCTCTGGAGCTCCTGTTGCTTCTGGCGGTCAAATAGGTCTTCAGAGCCTTCTCAGACATCCCTCCCCAAGGGGGGCCTTGGCATCCTGCTCACCCCATCACTGCCCCAGGCAACTGGCCACTGCTGCCGACCCCATCACTGCCCTGGGCAACTGGCCACTGCTGCTCACCCCATCACTGCCCCAGGCAACTGGCCACTGCTGCTCTAG